GTTCTTAATAAGCACTTGAAATAAACTCTGCGATTTGCCTCTGAAATCATCATTGAATTCCACTCAGGAATTCTTCAAAATGCTCTTCAGAATTCGCACGGAATTCCATTTTGAATTTCATTGGAGTACTCCATGGAATTCCTTTCAAGCTCTCCTCAACTTTCCCTTAGAATTGTCCTAGATATTCTTTTGATGTACTCTTTAAAATTCGTTTGGAATCATGCGTTGGAATGTAATTTCCATAGGATTCTCCTCACTTGGAATTCCTACTTTGGAATTCTCACTTAAAATTCTCCTTGCGATTCACTTGGAACTCTTCTAGACAGATCTCCAATATGATTATCGTCTGAATTCTTTTAAAATGATCTTTGATTCGTTTAAAATTCTCATTTTCAATTCCAATTCTATATTCCTTGGCATTCCATGAGTTTTCTCCTAAAATTCCCGTGAAATCATGCATTGAACTCCCGTTGAATTTCAACTTCGAATTCCTTAGGAATGCTCTCCAAATTCCGTTAAAAAAAGGCATCGAAATTCACCTTGAACTATCAATAGCATTTGGTATTCCCGAGCAGGAACCGATAGCTAATAGATAACAAATGAATATCTTAATGTGGTATGATACCAGATTTCGGTTTGCTTGTGGTATAAAACCTTGTTTTGATTTTATTCAGTTATCGAAATATTTTGTAAAATATCAAATGAATACCAAAATAACAAAATTTGAACTTTCAGTTTTTAAACAATAACAACAAAAAGAGTTATTGAATTGGTATTAGAAGACCTTCAGAGCAACAAACTTTGGTATTCTGGCATCAAAAAAGCGCGTGTTATCCGTTTGATATTGTAATAACTAAATTAATTATTAGTTCGTTATTCGTAGAACATTTTTGAGGTATTATTTTTTGGTATTTTACCTCTTATTTCAGCCTCACTAATACCATATTTAGGTTGCCAGTTATGCTATTTTCATACCTGAATTTGGTATTAATAAGTTATTTTCTCCTGCTCGGGTTAAACCTTTGTATGTTCTTCTATAATAAGGCTAAGTTCATTGCGAAAATCCTTCAACATGGGCATTGAATAAAATTCGAAACATGTCTCAACCAAGAGGCAGGCATATCAAGAGAACTTTAGCATGCAAAAATGCCAGAGAAAAATCGATTGGTGAATAATCAAGATTGCAAAAAATGCAATTATGCTGAAGATGAATTCCTAATAAAGAATTTAAAAAAAATATGCTTAATAATCTCTTGGATTTTTTCAAAATTTTCTAAATTTTTTCTCAGGACCACCTTAGAATTCAATTGAAGCTCTCCTCCTAGGAATTATTCTCAGAGCTCCCCTGAAAATCTCTTGTGCATTTACCAGAAACCTTTGAAGCATACCTTAGCTTTCGCTTGAAGTTCTCCTCACAACAACCTTTAAATTTTCGTCAGAACTAAAATTAAATTTGAAAATTCTGATAATTATATAGGTAGGGGAATTAACGTATTCTCGGCAACCTAAGCAGCGACCTTCTTTCTATAGCCTTTTTCTCTATGGAACGCACACATATGCAGTATTGGTTTGTTTACAATCTTTTGCTGCCAGCTGCTCTAACAATTTCAGACAAAAGAATTGTCAAAAACTGTTTTGAAACGCTTTTTCAAAGCTCCAATCTTCTCTAGTGAGAGCGAGTATTGTCTGCAACCAGTTTTTCTTCGGCAACTGTTCCATTTGAACTGCATGTAAATCTGCTGTTCTATTATCGGCAACTCGAAATCAGCTACAATTTGTAGTGCGTGTGTTTCATTTCAAGAAAACCCTGTTAGATTGCTTTTTCTCAGTGGTAAAAATATAGTCAAATTGAAGCTGAAAGCATAAAGAATCGTTTGCATGCATTCAGCGAAGTGTTTTCGTAAGAAAATCCAGTGAAAATAGTGTTTCAATTTGGGTTGCCGAAAATAGTCTGTCATGCCGAAGCCGTCATTTCCCCTACCTGCATTAGTCTTGCTTCTGGCTTCACCAGTGATCAGGCATGAAAAATCATTTACATTCATTTAATGCATTCATTTGAAATCATCTCTAACTTTTTTTTAACTCTAACAGAATTACGTAAAATGATGCATGAAGCTGTTGTAGGTTTTATGATTAGCTACAACTTTTGTGAAAATTTTAAATTTGTATCTCTTATGCAGGATGTACTAGTGCGAATAGAACCCACATTTCAATTACATTCACTGACAAATAGTAACATGCTCTGCCCGCTCTAGTTCGTCATGCATAAGAGATACAGATTAGAGTTTTTCACAAACGTTGTAGTTAATCAATACTTACCTTACCAATCAGGCTAAGGTCTTGATGTCCTCTGCTGTCCGAAGAAGTCGTCTCCACTCGTAGTCTGCGAAGGGTCCGCAGGTCGCCTTCTTAACCTTTCGCAGTCCGAGAAGCCGAGCGATTTGCGTTTCCAATCATAGTCCATATTTCGTCGCGTAGGCCTGTGCCGATTGTACCGATCCGTATTTCTTTCTTCGGTATATGCAACTTTATATTTTTTCCTGTGCGGCTTGTTGGACCTGCCTCAACACCCTGTCTCGCCGGGGGACCATCGTACACGTTGGCACTAGGACGGTGATCAGCCACTCCTAACATGGATAACAGACGCGGTTTTGAGCCGCACCTCCATGGTGAATAGACGCTCGGGTTTGGTGAAGCATTTGCTCTATCACCGCACTATGGTTACCGCGTCAGTGTTCACGTCGCACCTCTTCACTTTACTATTGCCGGACTGGCAACATTGCCCAGGCTACGCCACCCAGCTGTGTCCATGTTTCAGCTGGTATTCTTTTGTTATCATATGACTCGGGGAGGCGTGACGTAGGAACTTGTGAGGACCAGAGTGAGGTATCCCGCTCCTTCCAAGTTGTCAACTCATGATTTTGTAGCCCAAAATGTAGTTAATCATAAAAGCTACAAAAGCTTCATACATTATTCTACGGAATTCTGTTGATGAAAAAAGTTAGAGGCAAGTGAATGCAAATGAATGTTAATGATTTTCCATCCCTGCCCATGGTTAAGAATAATGTAATCAATTTAAAAAAAATATACATAAAACATTGAAGCCCTCCCCGCTCTCCAAGTTAAAATGTACCCTTGAAGACATTTTTCGATCTCGTTGAAATTTGTTTTCCTCAAATATCTGGTATTCCTGTTTTCTACACACATTTGGTACAGTCCCTTCAAAATTATAGAACACTTCACTTTGATAAATAATTGTTTTCAGGTGGTTCATAAATGTGTATTAGATTTAAGTTTATTATTAATTTATTTGATAAGGCTCAATCGAATAAACTTTACAGAGCCGAGGATTCTTGTTTACTATACAATACATCTTAAAATTATAGTCAAAAGGTACACCACAATAAACACTTTATCTTCCGCTATCCAATAAGCTTCTTCCAATAGAACGGGAGCCGCTACCAGTGGTTTCATTGTATGGCAGTATCGCCAACGGGGGGCAGGGTACTTCCATTGCAGCAATGGACGCAAAACGTGGTCAGCACTCTCACACTCATCACAAAACGGTTGCTTTCCATAGTCGACGACGCATCGACCGAAAGAACTGCTGATGAAGAACAATGAGGAGGACCACACAGTGATTGCTGCCGAGTAAGCAGACGATCGCGTGACACACATCGACAGTGGCCTGCTTTTGTCGACAGCCGAGTGACCACTGATTCATAAATGTGGACCACTGTTTATCATTCAACAATTATCTTACTTCCTTTTTTCTGAATAAGGGCTTGAAGAATTTTCAGTGATTTTAAATTAGCAAGAAGGGTCCAATCGCACCAAAGGTGGATTAATTTAGTTTGAGATTTTTCAGCGTGCATATTTTTTTCCTGTATAGCCCTTTAATTTTCCTACAACTTTGTCTCAGACGTCATTTCGATTAGAGAACACAGTTTCGTGCTAAAAATTTATGGTGCAAGTCTCGCAACTCTTCCGTTTTCTCATAGGACGTTCGCTATGAGACAGGCACAAACGCGTCATCTGCCGCTCAAAGGTAAATGCGCCGTACGACCTTTATAGTGATGGTTCCAACCCTAGTCCAAGTGAGTTTACTTGATAAATTTTCAATGCGTTGCTTCCACCTCAAGCTCAGCGCTATTCTATATTTTACTTGGATTCTGGCAGCCTTCTTGAAAACAATGCACACTTATAAATTAACAGATATAATCTATTACGGTTACGATTTTTGTAAATCTTTGAGTGTTAAAAAATTTTAATATTCCAATAGTTTGCATTTTCATAAGCTTTTTTATATAAATCTAAAATATTGAAAAGATTTTTTTTTTGTTCTTTAAAAATTAAATAAATCTGTAAGTAGTAGACGAAATATGCGTATCTGTCAAAAGATAAGCAATTATAACGGAATTGAAAGGAAATACAGCAACACACTCAAAGCTCTTCATAAAGGGATTCCGTTAAGAGGTTCGACAAATTTAAAATATGACCAATGAGTGGTTTTTTAACGGAATTAAAAGGAAATAAATCAACTCATCTAAAAAGCTCTTCACATTTTAACGCAATTTTGAATGATTGCCCATATCAAACAATTAGGCAAAGTTTCATCCAAATCAGAGAAAATCTAGTCTGATCGATTCGTCATTTGCCGTAGAACTGCACATCTTTAGAGTATTTTCCACAATTACATTGATTTTCAGGAAATTTCTTTATCACTTATGATTGAAATAATCAAAATCCATCAATAAAAGGGTGGTCAGCCCTGAAGTAAAGTGGCCAGATAGAATATCACCACAAAAATGTGAGCCAGTCAACTCCACAGCCCTGCATACAACTGTAAAGGCAGTTTAATGAAACACTGTATATTAATTTGATAGTGGGCGCTTGTAGAGCAGCAAGTTCTGCATCTTGAACATAGATGTCGCCGTTGTTCGGTAATATTACTGAATCGCTTTTCTCATTCTCTCCTTCTTTTCCATGCATCTTCACAGGCAGTAGCGGAGACGAATCGGACTCTTCGCGTGGAATTCCTTCCAACCTAGAAGTGCCTCCGGGACTGCAGGTGATCCCGCTGAACCACCTTCACAACGGTGGCGGTGGTGGAACGGTGGATGAACTGGCCCAGCACGAGCGGCTTAAGGTAAATCCAAAACGGAAATCATGTCGCCTCCAGTGACTGATTGATTCCATCTCCGAACTGCTTGTTCTTCCTTCCACAGCAACTACAGAGCGCGGAGCAGTTCCTGCTGCAGATGGCACGCCTACAGCGTCCACCACCGCCCGATCTGGACATTCGCAGCGGTTCGGTAGTGGCGAGCAAACCCATCCCCAAGGGCACCCAGTATGGGCCCTTTTTGGGCAAATTTTTCCGGGATTCGTTGGACCGACGGGAGGTAAGATCAAACATATTGCGGGTGTGATGTTTTCATTTCATCCCTCTTCAAGAGAATTAAATCCAAATTGCATAAGCGTACGGTTTCGATGGCGCATGGGATCCTTTTGTCGACTCGGGTGTGTGTCCCCCCTGCTGGGAGTTGGCTTTTGTTCTTGCGCTGGGATGTGAGGAGGGTGCGCGTTACGGATCGTTGAATGTTCATCATCGTTTACGGATTGCGGTGGTTTCTTGCTCTGAACATCATTAAGACAGGCGACGACGACGACGGTGACGATGGAAGCTAAAAGCTGATGTAGTCATTATAATTTTATGAATGAGATGATAATCGAAGAGAGTGGGCGAGACAGAAGAAGGTTCCAGGAAAATAGAGTGGAATAGACGGTTGCTGTAGTTGTCGGGTATTTGTTGTTTCTGATTTTGTCTAGGGAGCTGTTTGGAACAATCATTTTGCGGTGAATTTTCTCTGCCGTTGGTTTCCAAAGGGGTCGAAAGGGATTTGTGAGATTTTTGTGTGTGTCAATTTGTGATTTGGAGGATTAGAGTTTGTTATTATGGGCTTATTGGGACATTCGTACTATGTTTTGTAATGAACTTTGTTTTCTTTTTAGAGATCAGTGCGGATGGTTGCTTTTTATTCAGAAGATTCCTATCTAAAGAGTTGTCTTGATCGTTGAAATCACGTCCAAGTTCATTTTACGGTACTTATCCCAATCGACTAAATATTTATTCCTGTAGCCCTTAAGGAAAAACAACTCTAATCAAAGTGGTCGTCCCGATCCACACAGACTTCTTTTAGCGAACATCCCATCACAATGTTTTTAAACCTAGTGATCGTCCAGATCCATGCACCCTGCATTCTTGGAGGCATTCTACACGCCGCAGAAGAAATTTTCCTTTTCCTTAGGGTATCTATATGTTTAATTGAAATATGTTTTCAATTGATTCTCATAACCATGTGAAGCAAATGTGTGATAAATGCGATAATTCAATAAAAACCAGAAGGGCCCTCGCAAACCAGATTTACAACGGCAATAACATTTACCGGACAGCCATCCAGCAGTAAGCAGTTGTAGTTGCAACGAAAACAACATGCTTCAAGGATACAATCCCCTTGGTAACAATTTGATGCTACTTCCCTCCTACAACAGCATTAGCTTCAGTGACATCCATTCCACCGTCGCCGTTCCTATCGCCAGTCGGGGCCTGAACGGAAGGCAAAAATTTACGACATTATTACACAATTCATTCCTTTTACGATTTTTGACGATGACGATGATGACGACTCAATATCCATTTGACACTAACGGAGGGGTCAAGTGTGCGAGTGTGTTTGGCTGCGACTGACTGGCAATTGGCCCAGTGAGCATGATTTATCGCTTTCGATAGGGGCAGAGACAGAGAGAGTGGACCCACCACTGTATTCTAATTGCCATCGTTGTAAAACAGAGCCAGCCCATCGTTGTCGTTATCATCATCGTCAGAACGATAAAATACACTCCCTCGTAGTCGTCGTAGCCATCGCAGTCGTAAATGGGAGACCGTCCCCACACATTTCCAAGCACTGCTAGCTGCTGCGACCAATGGTCGCTGATGGATCGTTAAAGCTGGACAGCTATAAATATCAGCCCCGATTGGATCCCAAGGGTGAACAACATCTATATAAATATGTGGGGAACAGTGGAGTCAAAATGGCTCCCATTTTGACTGACACCGATTAATCAGGGGAAATTTTTCACCCCTGTTCGCAATTATCTACTCATAATTGATACTTCAAGTTCAGATTTGCGCAACGGAAAACATCGTTTATCAATCTGAGCAATCTGGCTTATCTTGTTTATATTTTTTTCCCCGGCTGGCAGCCAGCAGCCTTCATATTGCACGCTCGATTAGCACCGAAATCCATTCGGAACAGTTGCTGACGGGCCGGAGTTGGCTTTGCGGCAATTTTCCACAACGAACGGCTCAACAATGTGTCTGCACACGCTTGAGCGATTGAAATTGATAAGAAAGTTGCGTTTCAGGATGGAATGATGGTGTAATCAAGGCACCGTTTCACACTTGGTCCAACGTATGGCTCGTGTGCTGCTGTTTTGGGATTGTCAAATTCTGGTTAGGATCATTGGTTTGAAAGTGGTAATCTATTGGGCTGCAAAGCTTCGGAATGCAATTCCATCTAATAAGGATATTTAAGGCCAGCAGAATGCTCTCGGCGTTGCTCGGAGGCGTGAGTTTATATGCTGATTCGTTCACTCTGTTCATACTCAGTCGCCTACCATTCACCTGCCCACACTCATCCCCCACTCATTACCTTTTCCGTTCTTTTGACGTAGGATTACGTCTTTCGGCAACATATTGGGGGTGCAATTTAAAAAAAAATCAAAATCGACCGCGTTACGAATAGTGGTCAGGTTTTGACTACTTATAACTCTGTCAATAGCGGATGGATGTTAATTCTAAACAAGCCAATTGATTGGAAAATTTTCTACGAATCTACCTAAATGAATACTTAATTAAATTTCATAAGGTCACTATTGAAAATTACACAAATGTTAAACTGTTGCAATAGTGATCAAAATTATCACCGGTTGCCTGCAAAAAGCACTTTACCTAACACAGATTTCAAAATCGAATTCCGCTTGGTATCGCCGAACGATGCTTATTCAATCACCGTGTGTGGTGGTGTCCTGTCGGTCGTCATCAGCAGCAGCAGCAGTGCTTTGATGTGTGTGTGTGAAGCGAAAAAGTGGTTTCCCTAACACAGTGGCCGAACATTGATACCAAGCACGTATACTTTTTTTTTCGGGTGGAACCAACATTTGTCAATTCCTTCAAGTAAACGACAGCCAACCAGACTACCTAAGAACTTGTACCAGTTGAACGAAACAGACGAAAAACTGAGAGAATGCGAAAAATAATCTCTGCTGAGCGGAAATCTGATTGCCTGCGTTAAAACTGAACTGGATAGATCGGAAAATCAATAAGGGTGTTGTTTCTGATTCAGTGATTAAGCCAGCGGTTAGTTTGTTCACTTTTAAACAATTTGAATGATGCTTCTCCCAGCATATTGATGCTGAAAAATATGAAAGTCGTGCATGACGATTTCTCGTCTAAGGTAGTAACTTGAAAAGCGATGTGTGTCCGGAACTCAACTTTACTCAACTTATTACCACATCAACGAGTTAGCAATACCTGTTGAGTACCTGTTTCTACATGAGATTGAATTTTATGTTTAACAAGCTTCTATGAGAAAATGTACCTAGGTATCAGTGTTGGAAAAGTTCGCGATATTTAACGAAGTTCACCATGGGAAAAGTTCGCGAGTCATAGTGAGTTATCGCGAACTTTTCCATCACTGCTAGGTATATATATATATATATATATACGGTAAAATGCAACGTTTTCTTCAGTCGAGTATCAGAGTAGTAGTATTGAAGAAGTCTGCAACGAAATACGCGTATCTGTCAGGATAAGCAAATAAGATAGTGGAATTAAATGGAAATTACTAATCCTTCTTTCTCTCTTTACATTAAGTGATGAAATTGATTCCACTCACTTACTCTCTTGCCTGAACTTTCGTGCGCCAAGCAGATTTCTACGCTCATCGTGCTATGAGTTCGGTGAACCTGAGAAAGTTTCTGGAGACGTATTATCAATTCCAGATACATTTAGTATTTGTTATGGCTCCAATCATTCACAGACGCCATTAAAATAAAAAAAAATCTCTGTGTCAAGAAAGAGAAAAAAAAGGAATAATTGGCATTTTTGCTAAATTTAGGGCATTTTGGATCTTCTAATATTTGTAAATGGCGTCTTTGACATTTTTCAATATTTTGTAGCACGAAAACATGTATTCTAATGAGAAAAACTTGTAGAGAACAGTAAAGTAATTTTTGGAAAAAATATACACTGTAATTTCTTATCATATACTATATGCTTTATATCATATCATATTCTCCGCTGGATATGATGGGATATTTTAACATCAAAAGATAGCTTATTTATGTGGCATTGAATGCCTAGGTGGTTGTTTACGACACGAATCATTTCAGGGAAGTTTGAGGCGAAAATAAGGGGTTTTACCAAGGGGTAAGTCACTCACTCAGCACATTGTGTTGAACTCAGATTTGGCACAGCTTGGGCACATCTATCGGCACAATCTCGTAGGCATTGGATTTTTGTAAATTAAATGAGAGCACAGCTGGACAACTGTCATTGAAGTTTTTCACAACATTACGTGTTGTTTGACTGTATATTCAGGAACATCCTCTAATTGAATATACCAGAGAAACTCAGACCAGCAGTTCACTTATAGATTTAAATACGAAATGTAGGTTCTAGAGTGGGTTGAAGAGAAAGAGGCAGTTAATCAGACTCCATTAGTATCCTTAATCAAATAATGCTGCAACTCACACAAAACAAACTACAGAAGTCATATTCATCATCCTCTATAGTCGGTCTCCAACAATGTTCCCCACCGGTTCCAACTCTTTCCGGCCGCTGATAGACCATTGCTTTTCACATCACGAAAGGCTAGGTTTCTGGTTTGCCTTTGAGGGCAAGCAAACCCTAAAGCACAGGACTTTTATTATCCTATTACCCGCCACTTCCCGCAACATCCTCAATCCGATTTACATTCAACATTTACATTTACATACAACATTCAAGGTGTCAGAAATACCGGGTTGGGCATTTTACAAACAATCGCAGCTTGCTCTATGACCGGCACAATCGGTACACCTGCGGAACACCTGTGGCTCACCTGCGGCACACTTGCGGCACACTGACAAAACAGATGACCCAAGATCGGTGTGCGGAGTGACCTACCCCTTGGGTTTTACCCTATTTTTAGTGTCACTGAAACCCCATTTCCCAAATTTTTATCATAACGAAACTAGTTCCATTCTATTCCTCAGGGTTTTTTCCGATAAGAAATGGTCTGAGCAATTGTGTTTACATCTAAACAACCCAACCAAATATATTTTTATTTATTTTGAATGT